TCCCAGCTACTCGGGAGGCTGAGGCAGGAGGATCGCTTGAACCCAGGAGTTTGAGGTTGCTGTGAGCTAGGCTGATGCCACGGCACTCTAGCCCGAGCAACAGAGTGAGACACTGTCTCAAAAAAAAGCCTATTATAGCCTAAAACTAAATCCATGCTCTTAAGGAACCTACATTTCTGGAACAGACTGTTGTATGTAATCCAGAATGACTTTATCATTGCTATCATACAAAGTAACCATATTGGGAAGGAAATGTATCACTTAGAAGATTCATATTCCCCAAATCTGCTTTTCAACAAGTCTTTTAGACTTAAGCTCTTTATTTTCAATGAAACACACAAAAATAAAGAAGCCTGGTAGCCAAATTTCATGATTCATACAAATTGTCCTGTTGTTTTCAGGATGCTCATAATGTATTTGAGAAACAAGGGAAAAAAAGGATTGTGCCAAGGTTACTGCTTTCTGCCAAGGCAATGTTAAAAGAAATGGGTCTAGATTATAGGACAGACATAGAGCTTAAAATTTACCGTTAAGTTATAGGAAAATACCAACCTTTTCTTTCCCTAACATGGAGATTTAATCATTCTTTTAATTCCAGGCTCAGGTTTTTCTTCTGAAGAGATGAATAACTATATTAAATTAATTGAAATAATTTTAAAATCAACATACATTTTATGTAGATGTGTTCTACCAACTGCTAAGAGAAGAGTTATTAACCAAAATTTTACTTTCTAAAAATGAAAGTACTTTCTCATGCAAACCTGTCACAATGTCATTTATTAGATATTTACCTTTTGAATCCCGGTTGCGCCAGTATTTTTTTCCTGAGAACCCAGTTCTTCTGGTTTTTGAAATTCTACTTTCGTCCCATTCACAGGGCCTGAAGGCTGCCATGAATCATCCCATATATCTTCGGATGTAGAAAAACCCCAATCCTGCAAAGAAAAAAACTGCATCAATAATGTGAAATATAGTGCCACACGATCCTAAAAGAGGATAACCTGGGCAAGGAGGCAATGCATATTAAGAAAAGGTATTAACTTTCTACATAGGTGTGATTTTCCTCCTTGCTTTATTGGTCCATACCCAACATCTTGAACTCCTGTAAACACCTGGATCTCAAAAATAAATACAACTCTGTTGTAGTATTTTCTTTAATACTTGTTTCGTGGCTAGATGATTGCCATAATCATGTAGTGTTTAAACAACACAAATACTAAGGAGCACCTTCAGACATTTCTTCTTTCTTACAACTGTGGAAAATAAATTTTAAATATATATAGCTGGGCCCAACTTAGAAAATACCTGTCTGCAGAAATCCAGAGGTTATATTATAAGGCTAATGCAACAAAAATAAAATTAGAGAAAATAGTTTCTTTATTTATAGATCCTAAGGCCTTGACTAGGGGCCAATGATAGGACAAAAATCATAATGACTGAAAAGGCAGGTATGTGCAGTAAGTCCATGGTTTATTCCTCTCTGCGGAATCCTCTGTCCCCCTACCTACCACTACCATTTAAAAAAATCATTTGTTATTTTAATTATGCCCTGATAAGAAGTTCTTTTGAATTCTAGAATGATAGCTTTCCTGAGGCCTGAACAATTAAATTTAAATTTCCTTTGATCAGTAGTGATTTGCTTTCTGTTTTCCAAGGTTCTAACCTTCTGTGGCATTTCTTCACATGATGGATACTGTTTCTTTCCACCAAGCCTTGAGGTAAATAGATGCGAGGCAGCATCATCTCTGTTTCCCATCTTAGCCTGCAGAGGTAACCAGTTCTCATCCCAAATATCATCACCTATGGTCACTGACTCCAGGCATGGCATTCCAGAGGGGATATCATCCTAGGATGTATCAGAATACAGAGAAAAATAATAATTTACAGTTCCTATATGAGCATGTTTTAAAATTTAGGTTTAGAAGTTTTTCCTGACTCCAGGTACTGTTGGCAGTTTGAATACAGAATTCAGTACTCTTTGCCTCCTGAAATGTCACCAACATAGAAATAAAGAGATTTAAGGTATATACTTCATGGTCAAAGAGAACAGAAGAGGAGAAAGCACCATCTACATTCTGGATACAGGAAAGCAGATAAGTGACAACTGATTAAGCAGTGCTGAGAAAGTGGAATCCTGAGCCAGTAGTGAGAAAAACTGAAAAGCAACCCATAGTTATACCATAGGTATCTTGAAAACTCAGATATTAGTACTACAAGGTTTAAGGAAGTGAGGGGGTAAATGGAAATGAAAACAAGAACACTGGTTGAAAGTCTCTGTGAACAGGACTTAGATCTCCAGGTATCTTCCCCTATTCCAAGGACTCAGGCAACTATACTTCTTCTACCTGTGAGAAGACCAGATAGTCTTCTGGAGGGACCAGAGGGATATTCTGCAGGGTAAAAATGACAGTGGAGCAAGCATAGTAAAAATTATTTAAAAATTAAGTGAAGCTTTTTATGTTGAATAGCTAGATTCCTGGCCCTCTTTTCAATAGTAAAACAGAAATGAAAGCATCCATGAACTTGAAAACAGAGTCACAGAAATTATCTAAACAACAGAGAAGATTGGAAAAGACCCCAAAAAGCAAGCAAACAAAAAAACCAAAACAGAGTCTCAGGGATTTGGGGGATAATAAGAAAAAGATTTAATATTTGTGTCATCAAATTCTCAGAAGGAGAATAGAAAGAATGCAGTGCAGAAAAATAATTTCAAGAAATATGGCTGAAAACCCCAAATTTAGTGAAAGTTATAAACCTACAGATTGAAGAAGTTTAGCAAACTCCAAACAAGATAAATCTTGTAGATTTTTGCATCAGAAACCATTAAGGCCTGAAAGAAGTAGAATGAAATTGTTTAAGTGCTAAAAGAAAAGAACCGGCAACACAGATTTCTATATCCAGCAAACATATCCTTTAAGAATGAAGAAATAAATACATTTTCAATGGAGAACTAAGAGAATTCATTATCCGCAGACCCATGCTAAAAGAATTGCTAAAGGAAGCTCTTTGGACAGAAAGAAGATGACATCAAAAGGAAACCTGGAACATCAGAAAAAGGAAGAGCAACAGAAATGATAAATATTTGGTTAAATTTAATAGCCTATTCTTCTCCTTTTGGACTTTTTATAATAGAATGTGTCGGAGGGTGGACAGCAAAAAATACATCACCATAAATTTTCAGTGTCAGTGGATGTAATACAATAGACATGGATAGTATAAAGGAGGCAGAAAGGGGTAAAAGACCTATATGGTGGTAAGATATCAACATTTCACTCAAAGTGGTAAAATACTGATTAAGTCTGCTATAAGAAGAATGTATATTGTAATTCCTAGAGCAAAAAAGCTATACAAATAGATATAATAAAAATAGATAAATTTAAATGGAATACTAAAAAATGCTCAAATAAC